CACTGGATGATACTTAGTGATCTCAACAGGCTCATCTGAGCTTGGCCTTGAAATGGTTTGACACAAAAAGATGCTACTGTTTTGCATAATGGAGGTGCAGGTTTCAGCATTTCTAGAGTTTGGCTTGCTAGGAAACACTGCTAGGAGTTATAAGTCAGACACACCCAGTCTCTGCACACTGAATTTTACAGTTGTTTTTTTTACCCCTCTCTTATGAGTCCCTCATCTTTATAGAACATGCAATACTGAAGCACTGCAGTGTCACTTCACACACTGCCTTTACTACTATGCACACAACTTTCCTGGATTACATTGCTGTCTTTCCCGTTTCTAGCACCTTGTAAACAAAATTACACAAAAGGGGGAGGGACTTTAAATGTGTAAACAGATAAATCCCACATTTGTAACAGGAGATACAATCTTCCAAAACAGAGATACTTGATACCCTAGAGGCAAAACTAGGAACTGAGATTGAACCGAATAAACAAACCACTAAAAGCATCTATGACGTTTTTCACAACTGTCACTGTTATAGTGACAGTTGATAGTTTCCTACAAACTGTTGACGCAGCCAAATCCATAAAACTGCTTAGACAGAGCCAGATTTAAATGTTCTGACACCTGTATATCCGCGTGCTCATTGATAAAGTTAAACTGTCAAGATTACGGAACTGAGTTTTCATGTGACCAGGTTCATACTTCAATAAAACGGGGACGTTAAGGGGCTTGGTAAGCCGACATTGCAGGTGACACTACTAACGAACGAGAAAAAACGGGTCGTTAAAAAATAAATTCGTCAAGACTGCAAAAACGGATAAAGAAGAAGACGCTACTGCGTCACACTTGCATTTAAAAGAGGCTTGCCGTGCCAACTACTCAGCCACCGACACAGAGTCTAGTTAGCTCCATTACCTCCAATGAGGCAGATAACGTCAAGTCAATGCAGCGGCGCCAGACCACATAAAAACAGTTTTTCTTGTCACATTTAATTCTCGAGTGTAGACAAATAACATCTACTGGCCACATAAACTACAAGAACAAGTGTCTTGTTTTGCGAGTACAGCCATAGACAGCAGTACCGCTAGCTACCGTTTGCTAAACTGCTCATCCTGGCTAACGTTAAGAAACCCAGAGCTGACACTTGACTTACCTCTATCCTCTGCCACGATCTCTGTCTGAAAAGCCAGGCATTGTGTTAGCAGACTACTTGTGGGGGAAAACGGACCTCCTTAAGCCGGCCAACAAAACAGGAGATTAATATAAGTCCAAAAAAATATCAGCACAGGGAAAATAAAAAGAAAATGCCGGCAGACAAAAATCTGTCTGGAGAGACGGATGTGAGGTCAGACGAGGCGGATAACATTGTATCAATGCGCACACCCGCTGTGGTACTATTTTATTCCGACACCTGTGTTCAGTAACGGAATGTAATGGGGACAAGTGCACTAAGCAGTTAACCGCCTCAGTGTTTAATGTGACAAATTTCATGGAATGTTTTAATTATAAAAATGTGAACAGATGTCTGCCTGGACTATCTATCTTGTTGGGCCAGTTAAAACTGACAACAATAAAATCCTCCCTTCAACATTGATAATCATTTTGGAGCTGTAGTTTGTGCTGCTGCTCTGTTATTTGCCGTCACTTGACGTAGATGAGATGTGGACAAAAATAATAGAAACACCTGTCAGTATAACACAGTACAACTATAGACTTTTTTATAAAAATACAACTCAGAAGCACCACAAACTGCAGCCTCCAAACCCACCACACAGTTGAATCAACACCTCTGAGAGCAGAAAACAGGATATGGCCCTAAAAATACTCCTATTCATTATTTGTGAGATAAAAAATTTGTAAGTTCATAAACATATTTTTTGTAAGGAATATACTGTTGCACTGTGATTAGTGACAAATTGAATTGCAGAGATGAAGGGGAAAAGCAACATCACCACAACTAAGTCCAGTTGGGCAAGCAGTCAGATGATAACATTTTATTTGTAAGAGAAATAATATTAATGTAACATAGTTAATTAAACAGTATTTGAATGTGGAAAACCGGGTGTATTCAGTAAATTTGAAAAAGATTGTTCAAAACAATTTGACATATCCAGCTGATCTCCATCTTCATCTTTGTGAACTTTCTTATAACAAACACATTTTTCATTTGGTTGATGTAAACATGTGTGGGCATAGTGGTACCTGCAGAGACAGAAAGAAAAAAAGAGGAAAGACATTTCACACAATTAAAATCACAAAACAAAAATATCTACAGTAAAATTTGAAAGCTCTTTACTCAAAAAAACTGCTAAACATGAGTGAATATATATATATAATATATATATATGTAATTATAATCTAATAATTATAAAATAAAATCAATTGATTTTTGATTTTGGAGTTGTCAGGCCATCAATCTACTCCTCAGTTATTTTGAAAATGGTAATTTCCTTGTGCAATGTTTAATTTCATCAAAACTGCACATTCTGACCATTTGTCCAAGATGCTTCCTGCTATGACGTGATACAACCCTGCAAAAGAGAAAAATAACAGATCCCAGTTCTTACTGTTCTGTGGTCTCTCACCCACTCATTTGTGGTCTTCATCTTAATCAGGATTAGTCAGGCCAGGCAGGTTCCTACATTTCTTAGGTTTTTGTCCTGTGTATTTAAGACAAAAAGCAAAGACAATTGAATTAGCCCTTACTTTTCCCAATAACAGTTCCAGTTTCCAAAACTCTCAACTCTTAATGTTCTTAACTTTAAACACAAAATGTTGCCCTTAGACACAAAAGCAAGACACGTTCAACTTGTTGTAACAAATTAAATGAGGAAATACCTCATCAGTGGACAAAGATGATAAAATATGAGTTGTAAAATTTTACTTACTACAAAACGTATTCCACAAGTAATCTCTTTGTATGATGAGCTTAGTGTTATTGGCAGTTAACTGGCTACTTTCTGCGTCCCAGTGGGTTCTTTCTTTTTTCACTATTGTAACAAGGTGAACAACAAAACAGCAACTGAATATTCCCATATGTTGTCATACTATTATATAACCTACAACATGTAAAGTGCTCATCACTTTGTGCTTAGTATTACTATCACAAAACTCACTTTGGACTCCAAGGACAATGATTCCAGCCAGGAGGATGAGACACACTGCACCCAGAAAAACTGAGGTTCTGACACTATTCCTCTTTTCTCTGACCACATACACTTAAAAAACAAAACAAAACATCAGGATCAGGATTTTTAGGATACTGCAACCTATTAAAAATACATTAAACACATGAAATACTACATGTAGCTGTATATTATTGGAAACTTCAACTTTTTAAATTAAAGACGATTCAATTAAAACACATGTTCAGGGGCTACAATATCATACTGCTACACCTACACAGAAAACTTAACATAGACATTATAATTGAAACAGAAAAAACAAGGGAATTTAAATCATAATCTGTGTCATCCCTGGTTGTTGTGTCCTACCTGGGTGCTGAGCCTCTGCAGGTCTTGGTATATTTGGTGACATGCCCTCCACCCAGGGATTTTCATACACTCTCAGGCTTTCTGCACTGAGATAGATGTCCACTACATTCTCCTTGTTGTTCTGATCGCATTGAACCTTCCTGTTGATGCCTGGCTCATCGTACACATGCTCCGACATGTCTTACGGCTATCATACATTAAACACCAGACTTAAATAAGCTCAATAAAATGGTTCGTTTTCAATAGTAATGTCTGTTTTCTGAAAGAGGATGGACACTCCAACTGATGACAGCATAAAAAAGAAGAAGAGCAGAAAAACAGGAAGTCAAAGCTAAGTACTGTTTGGGCATCTGCTTGTTCCCTCTGAGCCCACCTGATCATCAGTGGCCTTTGGCATTTGATTTGTAGTCAAAAACTAGAGATAATGGTTAACGATTGTTAACTGAAGAGTAAACACACAGGAAATGAACCAAAACAGAGGCGATAAAACAATGAGTGGGCCGTCTGTCATTGTGGGTGAATGTGTGTCAGGCACAATGACTTTTCCCATGATTAACATAGGTTTAAAATATGTAGGTCTACAGTTCACATGAAATGAAGTCATTGCAAACTGCTGCATTTTCAGGAAAATATCTCTGAAGGTTTCTTTTAAAAGTCATATGGTGAATTTATAGGCTCGTGTTGTAGTAGATTCCCATTCAGACTAGAGGACCAATAAAGATTAACAAATAAAACCTATTTTGGGAAATTACAATGTAAAGTTTTTAAAATATGGAGTATTTATTATTATTATTATCATCAATGTAAATTTCGTGTATTATTGACATTATTATTGTTCCTGCTAGGAACAAAATTATAGTTATGGCTTTAAAATAGTTATATGTACTTTAAGTATTTCAGTGGAATTTTCAAAATATATTCACTGTTATTTGCTGGTTGTGATTTAAAGTGTTACAAAAAAGGTCTATTCTCAACATTATGCCCCTTTCACAGGTAAAAAGAAAATAACCAGTTTTATTATTCACCAAAAAACTGTTATTTTTACTGTCTTCTGACCCAAATCAAGAACCTGTAATTTGACAAAACAGACAGTCAAGTTATCTGATCTAAATCACCACAAATTTCACTTTACAATAAATTCTATTGTAACTGTTACATTTCTTACAGTCATTTCTGTATGAATCTGTATTCTTTTTACTAAAATCATAATTTCTTTCACAATAAATTCATTTTTAAAATTATTATTAGCGATAAAGCCTATATCGGCATTTTAGCTTCTTTCAGTCCTGTTTCTACATTAAAGTGTCATTTGGTCTTCATTATGATAATGTTATATGTACTAAATCACTCAGTCCTACAATGAATAAGGTTGTCAGATATATGTATTTGTTTTTTTTTATATATAATTTCAACAACAAATAATCAAAAATATTACATTACTGAAAAGTCAAATCTAAGAAGTTTATTTATACATGAAATATATATACATTACACATACAGCATGGAGAAGCTCTACTTTGCTTTAACAGGAGGAAAAATGTGCAGCTTGTTGTTGTTATTTTACATGCGTCAGAGCAAAACAGATGTGGAATCAGTTCAAGAGTGTAGCATCATAATTTGATTTCATTTAAGTATTTTCTCACAGATGAAGAATAATTTTAACCTGCAAGGTAAATCATTCCAGTTATTTAAACCACTTAACCATTTATTAATATGAACACAGTTTTCTTTTTCATAACGTCCTCCATTATCCGGCTGTCCTCTTCCCCAGTACCTAAAAACAGTACAAAAACATTTCAGTCACAATTTTAAACCATTGCTAAAATATTAGAAATCAATACTGCTGACATCTGTGAATTGTCCTTCCATAGTATGTTATTATGAAGTCATAATTATGATTTTTAAGGACAATGAAAGCACATTTGTTTCATTTGTGATTCAGATCTTGGATGCTCAATATCACACAGCTTCACTAATGACCTACATGCACAACATGTCTTTATTGTCAATATATGAAGTACAGCAGAGCTAATCTCTTCATCTTCTCTGTCCTTTAATATTTTCATTTAATTGTGTGCAGACTTTTTTTCAGAGCTGCATTAAGACTGCTGGGAGCCCTTAGCTTTAATGTAAACTAACTGATGAGCTGGCAGTGTTTGTCTCCCTGCTCATAGCAGAGCAAATGTCTTACAATGTGGTGGCATTCGTTCCATCAACGTATTTCCAGACACCTTCCTGCTCCTCGTCTGTGACACCAATCCAGATGCTGTTGGAAAATGAGCTTAGAAATATCTAGAATTCAGAGAGAGATTTAGGTGGCTGTCAATTATAGTTAGATTTCATCATTTATTCTTTACTTCTAAAAGATTATCGGTTTATCTTAAGAGTCCTCCTTTTGATATGTCACAGTAGGAAAAAAATAATGATAGCTTAATTTAATTTAGCTGATTTAGTTTCAGGGCCCTGGTGTTGTGCATGTTGGCTCACAGACAACAGAGCCATTGTTAATGTTATTATAGTAACACCTGTGATTTTCTTATCACGACAAGTCAAAATGTTTACTGTGAAAAGTGATTATGTAGATAGAAGATTAAGAAACAGAATTAACTTTCTCTATCACAATATTCACAGGTTTGAATGTCTCTCCCTCCTACACTGTTCATATACTATTGTGTTCACTTCTGCAGCTTTGCAGAAGTCATTGTGGACCTCTCTTCCCCTTTTCAGACATTTCAGGAAGATTGAAACTACTTTATCACACTGATCTTTTCCTCTTCCATCTTTCTAAAAGGCCAAGTACTAATTTTGTCTACTACATACCATATTAAAATGATGAATTTGGGAAGTGTGTATATTAGTACCTTTAAAACAGTATGTATTACATGTATGCAGAGAATAAAATAAGAGTACTCAGTCAACCCACAATAGCTTCAAGAGAAAGAAAGAGTCACCTGTTCCTCTTCGCTAGATATGATCGGCAGCTGTCCACCACGACTTTCACAGAACTGTTTGCTGTCAGACCAGTTTTTCATTGAGGTGAAAAATGAATAACAAGTGTTGCCAAACTTTATCCACTTGGCAGGACAGGATGATGTCTCTGTTTAACAACAAATAATAATATGCTTCAGTCATAATAATGCATGCAAACCCCATGACAAGGGGAAAGACAAAACACTGTACATCAAGTAGAAATACCACTCTACACCCTGGAGAAAAGAATGGTCGCACGCGAGTGAATTCCTACAAATGAATGACTTGAATCACTCACTCTGCACATTTGAACCATAAACTGTAAATAAAGATAGACACCTGCGAATTAGTCAACATATAAATAAAATCATACTAGAATTTCACTCAACCCAAAAAACAGGAGCACAGATTTCCTCATTTTACGTGAGTCAATTAACTGCACAACCCATATCATTTGTCTAATATTTTTTATCAAAATCCTCCTGAAGACACCAACAACACAAACACAGCCGCAAGGTCACGCTAAGGGATTCAAATTAGCTCAGGTGACAGTGAGCAGACAGCTAGCGGACTGTGACAGCTCCCACCGGTCACTCAAAGTGGCCATGCCCTCAATCATGCATACCTTTAAGCCTTAATAACATTTGAATGAGTGAGTTATATAAAAGTCCACCACTCATACAGTTTTCATGATGGGGGAAATAAGCGATAGACACCAAAACTATTTTTCCTACCAGACCATAAACATGTTTCTAGCCTAACCCTAACCCTATAGTTCACTACAAACGAGGAAACTCAACTAAAGTAAGAAATGAATAGATTGTTTCAGGAAGTCATTCAGTTCAGTTTGTTTACCTAAAAGATTCACTCTTTTGAATGAATCGTTCACGAACTACACAACAACTTACTGGAGTCTCTGCTGGTTGCCTGGTAACAGCTAACAGTCAAGTAACAGAAAAGTTTCATAATGCCCCAATTTTACACTTCGATTTTTGTATAAATGAACCAAATGCTATGTAACTTTTAATTAGTGAGCCTTAGCTTTTGTAGTAGGCTGATTTTTTTTGTCTTTGAACAGAGTCATTCTGTTTCTTTGTCTCCAGACTTTGTGCTAAGCTAACCAGCTGCTGGCACCAGCTTTATAAATACAATGTATACATGAGAGTGGTATTTATGCTATCAACTAATTTTTGGCACATCAGTGAATTTGTATTTTCCAAAATGTCAAACTATTCTTTTAATCAAAATCATTATTCTTTTGTCCACTCACCAAGCTGCTTTTTTAATTTGTCTCTGTCTTTGGTGACTTCAAAAATGTCTTCCTGTAGCTGGTGTGTCTTTTGGGTCAGGTTGACATTGAGGCTTGTCATTTCACTGTAATTTGTCTGTAGTTCGTCTCTCTCGATGGTCAGGTTGACATTGAGGCTTTTGTCTTGAACCCCTGCCACAGCAAGCATCAAATATGTGATTGATCAAACATCTATATACATTTGGGTGAGTTATAATAACCATTGCTTTGAATAGATGAATTTGGAAAACTTGCATAGGACCACCACAGCAATGACTACAGCCAGGAGGAGAAGACACAGCAGCACCAGAAACACTGCAGCAGGTCTGACGAGATCCCTCTTTCCTGAAGGTGCATTGACTGAAATGGCCGAGAGCACAAGTAAATGGCTGATGAAAGTTTATTTTAAAACAATTTGTTACTGTACTTGCTTCTAAAAATTAGCTATTTTATAAAGTTCTGCATTATTAAAAGCTATTCATTAGAGCACTTTTAGTTACCCGTGTTTAAAAATGCCATGAACTTTTTTTATGTCCATAATTGAAAAACAAAATGCATCAACATAAAATGTAATGTTTATGGCACATAAAAAGGTAATCTTAATCATAGTATGTATTACATAAGAGACAGGTAGACAGACACAGACAGGCGGATAGATACTTTGCTGTTGTTCTTCAGTGGTGTCCTGTAATTTCGGTGGCGTACTCCCCTCTGCCCAGTGGTTGTCATAAATGGTCATATTATCCATTTTGTCTGCATTTCTGCACTCATTCTCCCTTGTCTGAAATCTAACTTTCTTGGTGAGGTCTGGCATGGCATAGATATCCTCAGACATAATTGTATAACCTCCACTGTATTGTAACTACACTCCACCTAATTCAGATGTACTCTGTTCTGCTTGGACTAGTCCATGTATATCATACTGTAGCTCTGCCTGTTATTTAGAAATAGAGAAGTAGTAAGAGGTCACTTTGCCACCCAGGTTTTAACAGAGGGAAGAAAACAGAGGAAGCCCATAAGTCAGTCAGTCAGTCAGTCAGTCACACACACGCGCACACACACACACACACATACTGTTGTATAATCAATAACCAGCATCATATAACATGTCTAAATCTTAAAGGAGTTTCTGTTGCTAAATTGTCATGTTCCTTCTGATAGGTTCGAAGGCAGATCACCAGCCCCCTTGTGGGACGTTCAGGCAAAGCTCGGGGCACTGTTGCTGCAGGACACTGTTCTGGTTGGCCATCCAACTGTGACCTCATGGCTCAGAAAGTGAGTGACAACTGACAGTTTGATTTCTGCTTGCAACAGCGGTTAAATTATCATGACAAGTTGAGTTTGAGTGTGGTCTTGTCCTCCTGTGTTTTGAGGTTGTTTTGAATCTTTCATGAAGAGAAGGCAGGTGAAGCTTAGCAGACATTCTTCTTGTTGTCCTTTCTGACTATGTTTGGTCTCCAGGTCCATGCTGAGGTAGAGTTCAAGCTGCTGAAGGGACCTATACTGGCTTTAAAAACTTTGAATATACCTAATTTGCCGGGACAGTTCATCAATGTAACTTTCTCCCTATTTCTTGTGCTTTTTGTTACTTATTCCCTTTACACTAAAGTAAAGTTGTTCCCAAACTTTTGTAGACCCCTCTATCTCCAACATGTTTGCTTGTGTGTGCATGCGTGGAGGCTCTGGAGCACTGTGGAGAGAATCACACTAATCTCTCCAGCCTGCGCTCTAAGACCGAGAGTCTCCGATGAGATCGAGCACTGTGATCGGACTGTTACTCCTGGCTCCGGGTGGATGGTGGATGACACAACCTCTGGTGTACAAGGCCTCGCCCCAAGGAAGAGCTCAGGATTACCAGTGCCTAAACGAAATCGCTGCAGAGCGTTAACCAGAATGGGAGAGTGGGAGAACTGGGACTGCCAGGTGACTCAGCTTCATCTGCTATTAATTGTCATTCATGTCGTTTAAGTTTTAAACATGTCACTTTTGCTGGAAATGTAAAATGTTGGATTTTGATTTAAAATGCTTAGTCCAGATACTATTCATATCTTTTTGGATTTTCTTTATAATTTCTGTTTCATACAAATATTTGTACTTTTACTGCCATGGTGTTGTGATTTTAACTTTAAGTTATCTTGTTCATATCTATGTGTCTTTCATGTCAGTTTAGAAACTAAATAAACTTGAAAGACACATAAGTGTAGCAGCTTTTTTGTTGCTAAAATGTCAATTACAAACAATTCTCCATCCTTATTTTGTTACATTATTTAAATATTTAACCAAATGTTGGAAGATTTTCTGAATGCCCATTAGAGTTTAAAATCTATTTCTTTAATCACAAACTTTCTATGGTGAAAAATACATATTTTAGAAGTTAATAACTACTGAATAAAACTGATTTAGTTTCAATGAATGTTCAACATAATCTCCTTAGTATTCCATATATTGTATTTATTAACTTGTGGTTATAATGGCTGGTTTTGGCTGTGCAACAGCTGAATCTAGTGACTCTCAATGTGTAGTAGCAGCATGCACACTCACGTTTGTTAATAACATGGTCGGAAATATGGGTATCTGGAAGTACAGACTGTGACATTCATAAAAAAAACAAAAAAACAATAAAGCAAAGTCAATGCCCTCTTCTAATAACAAAAAGTCAAAATAATTTTGAAAAAAAAATAGAAGAGAATTTATTGACATTAAAAACCAGGCAGGCACAGCGTCTGTCTGAGGAAACAAATATCTACAATAACAATGACCATATACAATACAGTCACAACAGAAGACTACAGGAGTGTTGCGATGGCAGATTATTGGCAAAGTAAAACTTCCAGGTGTGAATTATGGCACATGTAGGGCACAGTTAGATACACAGCTTGTGTTACACAGCAAAATGGAGGCATTTCGACATCAACTCCTGTCACACGCCACTAACTTTCACCATTTAAAAAACAGATTTGTCTGTCAGGTTTAACTGCACAGCCTCACATCTCTCTTTGTTCTGGAGACAGCTAATGGCTCAGCATGTGCTATACTGTTCCTTTCAAAGTCTTAAGATTTTTTTATCTCAGTGCACAGATACTTGTTGGGTAATATCGAATTTATAATTTCTTCTCTGCACAAGTTTCCCTGTTACATCACAGATCACACTGGACATAAGAGCCATTTCTGTTATCAAGACTAACAAAGGTCTTCAGTGAGATGACATGCTGTTTGCTTAATGATCCATTTTGTTCAGACAATTAAATCTTTCGATCCTCCACTAATGAGATCTTCCATTTGGCATTTCTATAAACATTTATTTTCAATATATTACGTCTTTTTTATATCAACACTAATAAATAATATCTATGCAAAAGGGTACACTGTACAAGCAACATAAAAATATGGCCTTCATGTTTTATGACCAATAATTCTGTGCCGAGTCAAATATCTATAAAAAGCCAGTGAAAAGCTGGAAACTGTCTTGATCTGTCTCTTCAGCACTGATATGGATTCTGTGTAATTTTTTTAAAGTTAGTAGCACAATGATTAAGCAATGCTTCACTTGCAAGCTTAATGTTCTGGAGTAATGCGAACAGGCAACTAATTTAATCACAGGAGGTAACTGAATTCAACACCATTTGAAATATTTGAAAGATTTCAACTTCACCCTGTCGTCAAAATAATTTCTGGCAAAAAAATAAACTTACAAAAGTGCTTACTTTAACCCAAGGAACAATGCAAATTGCATTGCTGTTTTTGATTAAAGGTGCCCCGTGGAATTATGAATATGACTTTGCCTTCAACAGAACACACTTAGTACCAACACTCATCATTACAAGCATTTGCAAACTTAACCACCATGGACATTGTGGTTTTGAAAATGGTCTTTATTGCAAGTGTGTCAGCGCATGTTTATGTGCTATGTGCATGTATGTTACTGTTGTCAACTGTAGAATAGCGTGAACCTGGCAGCGAGACTACACTAGTATTGTGTCGCTCCTTTGTGAACAATAGAAACAAAAAGGGGACATACTCATAAAATGTCGCTCCATAGTGCCACTAGTGGGCAGAAACTCCACAGGGTACCTTTAAGTCCTCAAATGAATCAAGCATTACAATGACAAAACTCCAAAAATCCACAAAATCCTGATCTGACTGAGATGCCATCACAGGTCTGAATATATTTTAGCTATGGATGTGACTATCATTATTTCTTTGAAAAGCACATCTGGTTTCACTATGCAAAAATGCACCGCGGTTGTATATAAAGTTTAAATTAGCATAGTTTTGAGCAGTATGGCAACAAAGGCTTTATTGTGATTATTGAAGTTAGCCCAGTATAGCTGTATAAGTACTTGTGATTGTCCGAGCCTGAAACAAATAAATGTCCTCTAAGTCTGCTTGTTAATTAATACCAGTTGACAAGTAAGAAACATTGCTCAATCTGAAGTTTCATAAATATGACAGAAGCAACAGCTCCTCTGCTCTGCAGTGCTTTATTTTTTGGTTACCTCAGCAGAGGTACGCTACACCAGCTTGCTGAATGCCCTGTTTGTCTTGGCAGTGTTTTCAAACACCTCGTCAAAGACAACTAAGCTGCCCAGCAAAGATACAGACCCTCAGTCAAGGGCATTTTTTGAGTGGTAGCCATACCTCAGGGTGTCCAGACATAAATAGTAAGAGGAGGAATAAGTTCACAGCAGGGAGTGTCACTTCAGACTGACAAAAGTGTGTCAGGTGTAACATCACAATCTCAAACTTACACACCTACAGACACATTTTCACAAACATTTAAATAACAACAAAATACACACACACACACACACACACACACACACACACACACACACACACACACACACACACACACACACACACACACACACACACACACACACACCTCACTCATTTTTTCGACATGTATCCACCTGGTTCCTCCTGGTAGTGCTGGCTCACTCTCTATAAGCTCGTTGGCTCGTTCCCTTTTTTTCTTGCATGACGCTTTCAGTGAGAAAAAAGATCATTATCCCCTCATATTTCATCTTTTTTTTCCATGGCTCAGTACCATTGCTCTTCAGGATTTGAGGCCCATTCGAGCCATCAGCTGTTCATAGACAGTCCAAGCCATAGCAGCCATTAGAGTGCGCCGAAGAGACCTGGGTACAGCCCCACGAAAAAACCCTCCCATGCCGTGTTCCTGAGGGAGAGAACAGAGCAGGAAAGTTCAGTATGATACTGGTATAGTGGCAATGTCGTACCCCTCTTATCAACAACCATGAGTGTTGCCAGTACTGCCTCTCAGTGAAAATGACATGCACACATGCAGTAAGACAAAATCTGCCTGCTGTGATACAATGAGCACACACCATGTAGATGTAGCGAATAGCATCTGCCGTGCTCCAGTGGGATGGGCTGACTTGAATGTGGGTCTTCACCACGTCTGCAGGCTGTGTTACCAGCGAAGCCATGACACCTGCCACCAATCCACAGCTGAAGTTCACCAGTGGGACATAGGCCGACAAAGTCACCTCTGAGAGGGAAGAGAAACCAGGTATTAGGAGAAAGAACATGAGTATAGTGAGGTGTATTGTGAGGTGCACTGCTGATTATAGCAGTTTGTTTTCTTCACACGTATTGCAAAACATATAATATTAACAAACATTTCTGGTAAGGATCCCTTAAATCTGTTTTCTATAAAATTGTGACCAATACTGAGCAGGTTCTTTCCCTGTACTAAAGTGTTTTGTTACTTACTGAGTGACAAATTCTGAGGGATAAATTTTTGGGGGGGTTATTTTATGCCTTTATTTGACAGGAACATGGAGTCGGACAGGAAATACAGGAGTGAGAGTGGGGGACCGCCATTTCAATTCACTGATGCAGTGTGGCCCTCACCTTGAGGCAGAGCCCTCTTGGCCTGGCTGTAGAACATGACGTAGATGCCGGAGAACGGAGCGTCTCGGAGCAGCGTGGCAGTCAGCCCTGAGAACAGAGCCCGGATTCCCTCTGTCTCATACACACTCTTCAGAGCCCCGGGCACACTCACATAGTTGTAACAGCCACTCTGAAACAAAATATAAACATCTACAATGAACATGGAACATGATTATTCACACCATTGTTTTTATGACACGGTTATGACACTGGAAGTAATTGCCTTATCACCTAGAAGCACCCAGTCGAATACAGATTTTTCTACAGTGCTAAAGACTGCCACTGTAGTTGTAAATTGTGGTCCTTCATTTATGGAAGCTAGGTGGAATGGTCATTCATTGTTTACAGTGTCTCCAACTCATGATTCATGCTTCATAGTTCATTATCTTTGTTATCAGCTACACGGTGTCTTGTCAGACGTTGAGCACAACACTCATGATATATGAATAAGCTGAAGGTGGACATGTCTCACTCTTTAATGAATATGTAGGTGTCGTGCAAATGTAACAGCTTTAAGACAAATTAACATATTTAAAATATCAATATCAATTCCAAAATGGATGCAAATATTCTCTTCTGTTTTCCCCTGCAGTATAAAGTTACCCAGATTGTGAAGAAAACCACTTGTATTTTAAATAAAAAGTTTTTATAAAAATGCTACTTTTAATATTGCCAAACTGACTACTGCCTGAAGATAAAAAAGTAAGACTCATCTAACATATTGATGAGTCGTGACCCTGCAAAAAGATGCCTCCCTCCTTCCCTCTTGCGGCTTGAATATTCATAAAATGCATTTGTTGGATCAATATATTATTATTGTCACCTACTGAGAACATGTCTACTGAAGGCCTTTTAATTCAGGAAGAAATCTGACAAACAAAGTGGTTGATAAAACTGTCGAAGCAGACAACTGACTAAAGTCAATCATGCATTACCAACAAATGCTTTTAGTTATAGCCTGCCCTGTTAACAAGTTAACAACATTAACTGAAACATGAATATGAGGAGATTATCATAAAAGTATTAAAGCAAGATTATGTAACTTCTGCTGAGCAGCGGCAAAAACAGCCTCTTCAGCAACAAGTGGTGATTACAAGACTCTCTGCTGGGCTCCGAGTCAGAGCAGTTAAAGTACAGAAAAAAAGCCTAACAATCGCTCAGGCAACAAACCCAAAATCATCATGTTAGTATAAACCAGCAGTCGCGCTGTCCACTCATGTCAAGTCAGCATTCAGCCAATCTGACGGACCGAAAACATCTGAACCCTCAGCAGCTGTGTGCTAAAATGCTAGGAGCTAGTAGTGGCATAGTGCCGTAAAGCGTTACACACTTCTTGTGGGAGATTGTATCCACTCAAAATGTTACATAGTGCAAAAAAGGCGTTCACGGCGCGCAGTGGGAATGAAAAATGCACCATTCTCCCATTTCAATTATAGACTTAAATCCCATTTAAGTCAGTGAACCATCAAAATGATTTTAAAGTTGTTATTTTAAGGTAAAATAGTTGCATTATGTTGCTTTACATTCAACAGATCATACAACACAACTCAGTTCAGAATGACTCAGAAGATCTCTCAGTAAAGGAACTGTCACTCACCTCAAAGCGTGTCTTGATGACGGTGAATGGCAGCATGCAGACACCAGCCAAAGCTCTTGCACCAGCTCCGAGAAGAACAGCCTCACCTGCATTGGGTGCCCGCTCCAGGAAGAAGTGCTGCTTCAGCGAGTAGAAGGTGCTGAAGTAGATGCCGACCCCAGGGATACAGCGCACAAATGACTGCCAGAGAGAAACACAAGCACTTAACATTTCTCTGATTCAGTTAAAGGCTTTGGTTAAGAAATACAAACTACAATGTTTAAAATGGTCACGTTTAGTTTTGTCTCACTTACTAATTAAAGCCAAAGAGATCTAGTTTTTAATTTTATGTCAAGTGTTCTTGAACAGAACCATGATACTAAAAGTATGTTGTTTTAAAAAAAAAATTGCATTCTGACAGAAACACAGTTATGTGATCTTTAAAATGAAAAGGAGACTTAATGTGGAAGAGTGTTTGTCTGCTTCTTAGAGCCAGAGACAGAGAGGTAACATGAATGTAAGGTGACAGAAAGATTGTCAGCAGGTCTGTGCTGCAGAACTGTCCTGACTGCCTACATGCAACAATAGAATTTATAACTGCAGAAATTATTGTAAAAAAGGGAAAAAATAAACAAGGTCAGATACTCACTGGTGAAACTCCCTTCCAAAGACTGAAGAAATTCTCTGTCCTAATAACATTGACGAAAACAGCAAACATCCCCACCTTCGGTGCACTGCAGGATGAGGTTTAGGGATGGTTACAAACACATTCTCAGACACACTCTCAAAGACAGACAGATGATAAACACTTTAGGCTTTCATAAGGTGAACAACATGCCTTTAAACAATCATTTAACACTGATATTGATTCACTCTGGAAATTGGAGCTGAGGAAATCCTTCCACCTGTGGATCATTGTTTAAAATAAATATCCAGTTTTAGCTGTTAAGATTTCCTGTCCTTCGTGAAGGGAAGTGCAACCTAGCAGCCTGACACTATGATTACATGGTGCTGGTGTGACTAATTGCTCTATATGGGTCATAACAGTAGATTCAGGCTGGCACTGCCTTCACATTTTGTGCTGCCATGCTGTGTGTGTGTGTGTGTGTGTCTGTGTGTGTGTGTGTGTCTGTGTGTGTGTGTGTGTCTGTGTGTGTGTGTGTGTCTGTGTGTGTGTGTGTGTCTGTGTGTGTGTGTGTGTCTGTGTGTGTGGGTGTGTGTGTGTGTGTGTGTGTGTGTGTGTGCGCTTGTTGTGTTGTCATACATGCCTGGAGAGCACAGTGTGCGTTAGTCTCGTGGCATTAGGACAAAATGTGTAAAATAAGTGTGTTTGCATTTCACACACATGCATAAGATGTTTCTTTATGCTATGTGTGCACACACACCCCGGCTTGGCGTTGTTCTGCAGAGTCTGTAGCCGTGTCTTGACCAGATCCAAAGGCTGGAAGAGCAGCGTAGAGCAAGTGCCGCTGAGAGAACCACACATAAAGGCTTTGAGAGCCGGGTGAGCCTGAGGACGATGTCAGAGAAAGGAGAGAGGAAGGAGACAGAGAGGGATGGAAAGAAAGAGGGGATGGGGGAATGGCAAAGAGAGATGTGACAGGAGAAACAAAATGCAGAGAGAGAGAGAAGGAGAGGAGGGCAATCGTAGAGAGAAATTGGAATTATAGAGAGACAGAAGAAGAGGAAGGGGATAAGGCAAAGAGAAATATAAAGGATTAGTCACTGTGTAAAAAGTATAATCTGAAAATGCACCATGCAACATCACTGTCTGTATGGATCACCTCTTGTCGAACGCCAGGGAAACATTATGAACAATAATGAATATTACCTCATACACATACTGGACTTTACTTTGAATCTAAATATGCTTGTGTGACATTTCCAGCATTACAAAAAAAACAAAGCTGTAAACAGAGGAGAGGCCAGGTTTCCACACAGCGCAGATGATGGAGATGTGTAGAGACAGTCGTCGTCGCCCCCCCCCCCAACACACACAC